ATATATAATTAATTTTTAATAAAACCGATGATTGAATAGTTTATTTTATCGCCTTGACCATACTTAGTAGATTAAGATAAATTATACGAAATACACTTTTAATCTTTTAGATTAAAATAATAATTATTTATATGTATGTAATTATCATTTTAAAATTATAAGAATCAATGAAATTTATTATCAATTTATTTTTATATATTTTATATCAATTATCATTTAAACATAATTATTATTTTAAAATTCAAATATAGAGAAAAATAAACTATATTTATTAGCAAATAAAATTTTATAAGAAAATATTAATTGGATGGGAATTTTCTTAAAAAAAAAACAAATTCAAAGAATAAATTTTAAATAATAAGAGTAATATAATCTAAAACATATTTTAGTTTTAAAATATAAAAGATATTATGTATATTTTATCCTCGTTACATCGTGTGACAAAGACAAATAATAATGCTAGGTGTTCCATAGTTTTTGCATAAAAATTCCCAATTAAAAAAAATTAAAGAAGGAAAAAAAACAAGGTGCATGTGTTTAGTCCTGGAGCACCTGTGAAAAATTCATTTTTATTTTTCATTAGTTATTAACTATCATATATCAATTATAAATATAAAAAATTATGGTTTTTATTTTTTTATTAATGGAGAATCCCAAACTCAGCCCAAATCCAATTCTTTCTATCCTAAACTTAATTAACATGGGGCAAAAAAAAAAAAAAAAAAGGTGTCACCCACACCAAACCCATTCCATTGCCATCCTATTTCAGTCCTTCAAATAAGTGTTAACCAGGTGAAAAAATAAAATTTGAATAAATACAAATAACACGGCACCATTCATCAATGTGGGGGCATTAAATGGAGCAGGCAAGAAGGAAATTGATAACAAAAACCCGTCAAGTAAAAATAGATAGAAGCATAGTTGGAGGGCATAGAGGTAAAAGAACAAAACCAAGCTGTGGCAAAACAGAAAATAAGCTGAAAAAAGAGGGCACAAAACACATCACTTCCAAGACCAATACAAACGGAGACCCACATTAAAATATAATAATGGCAAACGAACCGGCGAAATCCAAAGAACCAAACAACAAGGCAAAGGGAAAGACGATTGGACGGTCTGTAGAAAAGATCCCGGTCGAATTAAATAACATTTTTCGCTCATTAGGTCCTATAAATTAAAGATATGAATAAAACATATAGATATGGATAAAATGACAGGACAATTTTAAAATATTTAGGATAATAATAAGTAATTTTCTTTTAAAAATTACGTAAAAAAATTAAATTTAAAAATAAAAAAACACTAAAAAATAAATATAATTAATTGTATGTAAAAAAAAAAAATAGAGATCATGTTATTATTTGTATTTGCTTTACAATTATAAATGAATTTGCATGCAAAAAAATAAATTAATTTAAAAATGATTAGAAGAATCAATCATAATTTAATTTTTTTCTTTCAAATTTAATCAGTGCTACTTATATTTATTATTTATGACAAAAATAAATTGGAGATAAACTATTCCTAGGTCTGCTTAGAAGAAGCCAACATCTGATTTTTCTTTCGATTTTTCATTTCTTCGATCAGACGTAACCATTTGATTCAGGGAAGATAAATTAGAATCATTTGGACAGGACTACCCGATAAAATCTTGCCAGATGTCCATTTGATTTCATTCCACGTGGGCTTCAAAACTCTTCCCCGTTTAGAGATGTGGATTTTTGCATTATCCATTTCTACTAAAAATTCTGCCGGGCGTAAGTATTTTCCGGGTCAAACACTCTCCTTTTTTAAGGGTTATTGCTTATCGGCAAAACAAATGACTAGAATTGCTTTCACTGATTTTTTGCATTTCTCATTTCAAGCATTAATTAACATAAATAATTAATACATCATCAAATCCTCAAATTAAATTTAAATCCTAATCCTAACCTAGTTCAATTTATAATCAACGATAAACTCAATATAAATTACCTTTAAAATAATAAATAAAAGCATATAAACACCTTAAATTTAAGACTAAATAACAAAAATCTCATTTTTGTCAAATAAGTCTTCAACTTTAACTTCAATCCTAAAGCCCTTTAAGTCTCTTAAGTTTTTAATCTAGCTTATTATCATTTTAATCATCTTATTTTTATGATTTTCTTTTTATAGTATTTAGATAAGATTTTAGCATAAAAATGAAAGAGAGAGATAAAAGAAGCGGAGAGACTAAAGGAGAATGAGAAAGAAATGAAGGAAATGAAAATAAAAGAAGGATGTGTTCCCTTTTTTTTTTTTTTTGTGTGTGTAAAGATTGCCTAGATCTTATTGTTTTCTTTTCTCTTTTATAGGGTTAGGTACTAATTTTTATTTTAAAACAAAAATTTAGATTTTAATTTATTCTAAAAATACAATTTACATCTAATTAATTTATAATTATTTTTTTAATCTAACTTTATTTTTAAAACGGATTATTATTATAAAGTCGTTAATTGTTTGACTAATTGGCTTGCATGGCATACTAACACTCTGTTTTTAGGTATTTTGTTTTTATAGCATGCTTTAATAGAATGTAATAACCTTCTTTAAAAGGGTATTTGTGGGGCTGTTTTTCTTCGTTTTTGTAACAAAAAGCTGAGAGCTTAGACTCTCCCATGAATTTAAAAAAAAAAAAAAAACCACCTATGGAAAAGGCCATTTTACCCTTTTATTCACGCAAGATTTTCTTCCCCTCCTCTTACTCGAGGCATCCTGTAATTTACAAGGCTTGGTCCCGTCAGTGGGGGAAAAAAAGGCCTCCAATCCTCACCAAAACGTTAATATCTCCCTTGATAGTTCTGACTCCAATCCTTCCAAATCGCAATCGTTCATCCTCACTTATTAGGAATGTATTTAAAGGGGAAAGGTTGGTCTACACTCTACGGCCAAAACGTTACCCGACTCTTATAAAAATTTGTACCCGATTATCGGAACTCCTTAGAAAACCGATGTATACACCCGGTTACGATACAATTACTGGCGGTCTATAAAACACATGCATTTGCATGGGTTTGTTTTCATACTTCAAACCAAGCACCACACAGAGACCCAGTCATGGAGAGGATACAAATTATATCTGTCAGAGCAAAAACTTTTCTGTCCGAGCTGGTCTGGGGTAGAGATGCACCACTGATGTCTTCCTCTCGGGCTATCGATCTAGAGTTGCAGTTAGCAGAAACACAACCGCCAATACTTTCTCTTCCAGTCAACCAAGAAACATCACAGCCATCAACTTCACGACCTTCTTCTCCAGCTACCGATTTGGAGTTGCGGTTACCAGAAACACAACCACAAGTACTCTCTCCCGCCGTCAATCGAGACAGTACACCGCAACCACAGCAACCGCTTTCAGTTGCAATCAACGAACAACAAATCAATACAGAGAGTGCTGTTAATCAGATCAGCTCTCGATGGGCAAAGATAGTCATGGCTTTCTGTTTCACTGCAGCTTTGGAAATTGATCTTAAATATGAACAAATCGATCAACATTCAAAACCCAATCCCAAATTCTACTTGCGCTCTCTCTGTATCGCACTTACCTTCGTTTCTCTTATTGTTTCACAGCTTATTAGCAAAATGTTCCCTCTTGCGTCCAGAAGGTTAGAGAAAGTTGCCATCAGCCTCGGCGTCACTGCATTTTTCATCATCATTGCACATCCATTGATGGCCATGAGCCTGCTCAACGATGCTACCTAGCTAATAACGGTATTTAAGGCAATGGGGATAATATGGTGTACGTACGTTGTTATGTTCTTTACTTGTACGATGATGTTGTTATGTACTTCCCTTCTTGAACTTGGTCGTGAATAACAATTTGTACGATGATATTGTTAAACTTTCGAAGTGATTTTTCCTCCATTAAATTTTACTTTTCTGTTGGGTAAAACGCCTTATGTAGTTTTTAACTTAGTTACAATTATTAAATTTTCTACATGGAATACAATTGCTAAATTAGAACATGGAACCACTTTGGTATGTGTTGAATGAATTCATCCAAAATTGTATTCTTTTCTCTCAAATAAAAGTAAGATTCATAAAAAGTTTTTATTACGAAGAAGGGATTAATATTCATGTGAAAAAAATATAATACAAATTTGAAAAATTGTTAAGCAAATTAACATCATTTATAACAGATTAGAACATCGGAAAAACTATAAGATTTTAGGATTGAGGGTGTCAAAATGAAATTTATTAGGATACATTTAAAAATAGCATAAATTAATAATGGCTATAGAATATAACTAATATTTTTTGGGGTGCAAAATGTAGATATTTTTCAAAATGAGCCTTAAATTCAAGAGTATATTTAAAACCTTTTGCAAGTTTAGGACTAATATGAAACTTTTGTCAAAATGTGGGAGTTCTATGGCCCCATGTTGGGTGGCCAGTATTCATAAAACGAAAGAATCGGGTCCTTTACACACCATGTTGGGTAGCCAGTATTCAAGGTGGGCGTTTCACTGCTTTCAGAAATAGAATAGTGAAGCCCTTATGTATGTCGACAGCTAAATGGTTAATAAAATTCTAACCCGTATATAATTTATAGCACAATTTTTCGTTTTAAAAATACATTTTTATGAAGTTTTTGTATTAATACTAGCTAATGATATATGATTATATTTTGATATTAGATTAAATTAAGGGTATATTTGTCACGTAATTGTCTTAGTATTTCATAGATTTATGAAATATCTCAATTGTCATAAAAATATATATAGAATAAGATAAAAAGGTATGTCTTAATATATATATATATATATATTGCTAGCATTTTCTTTCAACTTAATTGTGTTTTTCCAAAAAAAAAAATCGGATTATAACCATCAAAATTATTCATTCTCCAAAATATTTACAAATTTGTCACCTATATTAGCTTTGGTGATTCGAGTTTTTTTCTAGTAGTGCTCAACTTCACTATCTTCGACTACCGGAAAAACGAGCAAAAGCACTAATTTATTTTTGAATTGTTGACTAATTTACAATTTACTCGTTCCATTCCTTTCGTGCTTATTCGGGTCCAAACCACCTTGCCACCCTCTATTTCCAAGTTCCATTGGCTCCTTCCTAGAAACATCCCATCAAATAAAAATACTCACCGATCGAAATTCGATAAACAAGAGAAATTATCCAATTTGGTCCAACAAGTAAGTTGAAAGACGACACATCATTCATGTTCAATTGGTACACAGTTTTTCATTAAATATTGAATATCTTAATGATAAAGCTGTGTGATATTTATTGAAAATTAAGTACTTAAATATAATAAGGTTGTTTGATAAGTATTGTTGTTGAATACATTAAGACTATATACATGATAATTTTAACATTGCAATTGTAAAATGATATTTTTTAATATAAATAAAAATATATACATATATGTATTTATGTGTATAAATAAATAAAAATTCAATAAAAATGATTATTAATAAAAAAATCCACCCCTGTATTTGCCTTTGGAGATATTGCCCTGTATTTACAAGGTCAATGCTATTGGCCAGTTCTGTCCCATAGCAACCTTTTGCGAACACGATCTTTCTTGACAGTACAAGACCAGAATACAAGAACACATTGTGAGGCATGATAATGCAACCCACAACTCCAATAACCTGTTGTATTGTTTTGGAGCTAAGTTTGGGAATTAAGATGCCTGCAACAGAGAATCCAATTAAATGTCTCTTAGATTCAAGGTAGCACTACAGTCAGACAAATGAAGAGAAACCAGAACAAGGAATAGGAAGATGAAGCTGTATGGACACAAGGAATAATGCATCACTACAACGAACTATACATTTCTACAAGCAAATTAACATATATTCTGTTTGATTGCTGCGAAAAGTGACAAAACTAGAGGGAAATTCTTTCTCCAGTTTCCAGGAAACCAACATAAGGTCAACAATTTATATCCAACTCCAAGTCACACCTGTAATTGATCAATTGCTTATCTTTTTAATTTTATTCAGGTGCAAAATTTTGAGTTAATGAATATAGGAAAGATTCGGATTTATTATAGCGTCTAGCTAGGTAAATGTAGGATAAGTATTCAATAATAGAATAATAATTTAGGTATCGATGATCAATCTCTACAGTGAATGTTTGAATTTTTTCTTAAACTAAAGTTTTTCTAAATTGAATATTTTCTTCCTTGATTTGTGAATTACTTTTAATTTCAGCTTTGCACACAAACAATTCCTCTTTTTTATGTAGATAAACTGAATTGATTATTTAGTCTCTAAAGTTCGACCTGGATTTATCATTTCTACAAAAATCGATAAGAAAAAAATAAATTAAATTTGGTATATTTGACAATCAGAATGGCTCGTTAGGATTATCAGGCATTTTAACTCTGATAGAAAAATAGGATGTAGCGCTACTTACTTACTGTACATAGAAGTTCTCTAATCTACGAGCACTCATTTACCATTGGAATCGAATATGAACCAGAGAATCACATCTCTAGAGTGCCTTCTTCACGTGGCATGGGCTAGAATGGATAGTTTGAAGGACTAAATCTTAAATAATTGAAAATTCAAGAGAGAATTGTTCCATACAGAAAAATTATTTTACTTATTAAGTAATTAACATAAGTTACTCTATAACAAAGAAATAAACATAAACAGAAGAGAGAAATAAGAAAGAAAATTTTTTTTAAAAAAAAATTGTACCTAAATTGTTTTAATGATTTTTAGTGGGCTCGAATGTAATTTTTTTTTTTTATGTTTTTTTTTAAAATAGACACCTAATTAAGTAATCTGTATGTACAATAGTTCCACATAAAATTTGATATTCAAAAATTATTTTTTTATACAGTAAATACGGAAAGTTTGTATAATTTAATCTTTGAATTTTGATGGCACTTCCATGATCTTCCTTTGGAAGAGGAATTGGACTTAAATTAAATTGGGCCTTGGGCCTCGTCCAGATCACTTGTTTCTCTTAACTATGTTTTCAGATTCTTCTCTTTAAATTTATTTCTCTTTTGTTTGTTTGTATTTTTCATGTAAACAATAAAGTAAGTTCTTTTAACCATCCATCAAAATTTTTATTACCTAAGAGAAAATGAATTAAAGAAGGGTTTGAATACTCCCCTCCCTCAGCATTCCATCAGATAAGTAGGAACGAAAGCAAAAACGCGAGAAAAATGGCCCTGCCACCGATATGTTATAATACAACATCATGCATATTCTCTCCATGTACCAACAGGAAGGATCATCAAAACAGAATCCTACTATCTTAAACAGTGAGGCCATAAAAGTCTAACAAAGCTGGGTAGCACAGGTAATCTCCCACTATAAATGTCAAGAAAGACTCGAAAGTGAGGCATGTCTTTCTGGGTAAAAGGGAAGTGATCGCAATGTGCAAGACAATCAACATACTTCATCACAGATATGCCACAATCTACTCTGCTGTTGCAAGTTCCACTATTTGGAGTCAATATCATTTTGAAGCATGTTCATAACAAAATTGTTAGCTACTTACTTTATTTGGTGTGGAATCTCCATTAGTTAATGAAAGTGTCATTGTTGCGAATTATGGTAACCCAATACTGGTAGTAAGTGCTTTATAATCCACACTGAAATTGTAATCTTTTCTACATGATGAGCATCAAGAGGAGAATTTAATGAATCTAACCAAAGCAATGCCGTTTCTCCATGTCAACACAAATGAGGAGACAATGATTTTCTAAGCACAATGGTATGAAACAACTAAACATGAAAATCACAGGTGAGTTAGAGAAAGAATTAAACAAGTTACAAGCATGCATTCAAATAATTTGTAGAGATAAAACATTTAGGGATACCTTTGATGCGCCTGCTATGCCTTCAATGTTTAAGCCAGATAGTCTTTCGTCTCGGTCCATTTCCCAGATTCCAATAAGCTTTAGTAAAATTTTGTCATCACATTGAACATAGGTTAACAACATTGAATAAAGAGAAGCAAAAGAAAGCCAAGTTTTAATCTCCTTTGCCACTGTCCAAGTTAGCGATGAGTAGTTCCTCTTGTACATGTTTGTATGCTAAAATGTGGTTTGCGATTGATAAGAGTGATGAAAAGAGGATAAATCTAAAGAAAATTGAGGATTAAGGCGTTCATCTCCAGACTAGCCATAAAGAATGAAACAACAAATTGATCAAACACTCACAAATACAGAATGTTACTTCTTGTATTGTGGTAGGATAATTAAGGTTAGTCCCTCTCATTGTGCCATCTGAATTGCCAATCTTTTCTGTGCTCATTGAGCCATGTGATTAGGAGAGTTCAGAAAACCAGAAAACACAAATGAACATATGCTTGGTGATTGAATACATAGCAAAAGAAAAGGAAGTGAAATGAGATGATTCACCACCACTGCAATGAGTTGCATTAGTTGGTTTCCAAACTGATGTGAAGATTAGCGGGTGACCGGCTGCCAACGGCATACGAAATCCACAAATTTTCTACTATTTTGAAAGCTGGAAAATCATGTACAAAATCAGCAAACTGGTTGGAACATAAGGAAACTGAACAGAGTTAATGTCTCATGCCCCTGAATCTGGTCAACGCCTCATTTGCAACCACATTGCTATCCGCCTCCTCAAATGCCTTTACCATATCAGAGAACCTAAGTTGGGTGCATATGGCTCTAGAGATTTGAAAACATTGAGGACTCACAAGCAAACCATTCAAAAGGAGAAGGTTCATAGCAGCGTATCTTCTCTAAATTTGAGGAAGGAAGTAATGGAACAGGATTTTGAGGATGCACCACATGGACTCGCCGGGCTAGAGCTTCAGCAAAGTAGTGGACCACTTTTTTGTCACTCGATTGGATTCCGCAGCTGACAGGACTTCCATACCGCTAAAAAGTTGATCTGCAAATTTCAGTTCCCATCTGCAATTATCTGACCACAATTCATCAGCTTTTTTGACAAGAGGTGAGTGCATTCCTGGAATTAACTAGCAAATCAAGATCTGTGAACATTACGATCTATCCTCCCCTCCCATTTTTTTCTGCCTCTTTCCTTGTTTCTTCCTTTACGTTTATGACTTGTTTCTCTTCCAACAAAGTTAATGGCTACTCTATATTTCTCTGTCTTTCTAATTTTTTTGAAAAATTATTTTGACTCCTTCAACAAACTTCTAACCTAGAATGCCCAACTACTTAATCAAAGCAAGAAAAAAAAAGGAAAAAAGAAGAAGGTAATTTGCAGCATACCAACATAACCAATTGATTAATTAAAGAGCAGAGTTTTTCCAGCAACAGGTACCTGACCCTTCCTTCCTCAAGATGCAGGCAGCTCCCTTGCCGATGCATAAAGTTTTGTGTTTGTTCAGCTTGTTTGAATTTAAACAAAGATCATGTAAGGAATCCATGTCAAGCCAGTGGCAACTCATGAAAGATGTGATGACATTAAAAAATCTGTCATGTGGGCATTCATAAATTGCCACCAGCTATAACCTGGATTTCTTCTCGAGGCTTCAGATTTTCTTGAGATAAATTACATCACAGGCTTCACCTGTTTCAGAGCGAAATTAAACAGAAAGAAAGAAAAGAAGCTAAGATCTCTCAATTTATATATTGAGATTCAAGAGAGAATACCATGAAAAGATCCGAGAAATATTATATGAACAAGAGAGAGAGCAGTGATTTTCTAAAAAGACGAAACAAAATCAATGGATATAAGTTTCTCTGGACAAGATAACTACTTCAGTCAGTTTTCTATTCATGACTACATGTGCATAGCATTTTCGTTGACTGTTTTTGGTTTGAAAATTACAACTCAATCCCTATAGTTTTACAATACAAATAACTAATCCCTCTATTTCCAAATATTTCATATTTTGGGTTCCTCCTACTTGATAACAATTGAATCTCATGCTGCTACAATTGTATAACCCATTAAGGATTCTTTATGTAACACTCCCAGCCTAGGACTTAATGGGCTGAGAATATTATCATCGTTAATCACATTCGAAGTGCAATGTAGGTAGGTTAACAAGGCATTATGATCTTATCGTAACTTATTTAAATATGTTTACGTGGTTGGCGTCTAGTAATAACATTTAGGTCTTATTTCTTTATTAAAAAGTCGCTATAATTTTTTTTTTACTTTTCTTAAATTACTTACCTTTATTCATTCACCTTGTCGGGTAGTCATTAATATAATTCACTTACTAAATTATTCGTTACTATTTATTTATAATAATTACACAACTATTACTATCTGCATCATTTCGTTATTACTTGGTTTGATTACATACATTAGCTATTTACACATAAGACTAATTTTATACCAATTACTACAAAATTAGTTTATTCGCTTTCACATAATTATCGGGTCATATCGCTTACTATTTTATAGCTTTTACTATTATATAGGATAGGCTAGCTACATCAAGTACATATAGAACTATAACTCATAATATAATTAAAAATAACACGCAGTGGGTCTATCCGAAAATCGAACTCCCATCCAAGATACACACATCCGGTGCCTCCTTTGATGATCGGCTCCGCGAGAAGTAGGCCATAGTGGGTTACTTATTTACACCACAAGAAACTAGATGAGCGATAACTCGGTAAGTTAATGGATGCACGTAATACATGTTCATGTATATGTAGGTATTGTAACACTCGCTTTATGCAAATTAAGTCTCCTTTTTTCTCATGTCATAAAACATAAAACATTCTAAAAATTCTTTTTTTCTCTATGGACATTTCCCATTTAGGTGCTTCGGGGTGCCAATAATATATGTCCGGCGAACCGGATCCGTCTATGGACACGCCCTACCGAGCCTTTAAAAGTGCACGTTTGCACTTGCTCGCACTGAACCATTAACATAATCGTATGGAAAACCCATGAAGTCCTTTCCTCAAAACCTCAAAATCATGAAAATCTTTTTCTTTAAAATCATTCGATTGCTATCGGATAACCATGACATAAAATATACTTTCATAACTTAAAACATTATTCATGAGCTAAGCATGCGTATTCAATTGCAATGAACTAGCAAGTCTGTATAAATTCATGAATGCTTACTTAGAATGGTTATGTAACCAAGTCATAAGAATCGATATAAAATTGAGCGAGCATAACGAGTGTAGATAACATCAATCCAATATAAACCAACACAGATCATCATTGTCACATCAATCATCATAACCCAATTCTCATCATCAATCACATTCAAGCATAACCATTATTCATAATCTAATGCATTCATATCGCATTTGAAAGAACATAACCATAACATAAAGGAAGATTAACATTTTTGTTCCATTTTTTTGTTTATTAAAATTACCTTTTACTTTACTTTCCTAAATTCTTTTCCTTAGGTTCTTAATTATCTTTCCATATTTGGTCTTTACCAAATTAAGTATCATTTCATGTTCCAACCTAACTAGGTATTATTTCATTGATTTAGGAGGTTCAATTTTGGTTTGGGCCTAAAGCCCAATTTTTCCTAACCCAATTTTTCTTTGAATTTTTATGAGCCCTTTTCATTCTAAACCATCATTTTACTGTGTTTTGAGTCTAAATCATCAAATTTAAGGTTTAAAACTTGGTTTAAACCTAATTCTCCAAAATTCCCATTTAGGCCTAATATTTCACCATTTAAATTCCTAAGATTTTCTTCTCATTTTGCCCTACCATTTTAATAACAAGTAGCCTAAATATGTACTCACTATAAGAATTAATTTAATTAAAATTTAGAACCTTAATTTCTACCCAAACCCGTATTGGGTCCTAATGGGCCGAAATTAGGCCCAAGCCCATATAATCCATTTTCTTCAATTTTTAGCAAAATTTCCATTTATACTCATCAAAACATGCTTATTCAAGTGTGAATGACCTATAAAAACAGAATCAAATTTTACTTTGAACTCAAACCCTAATTTGCTTAGTTTAGGCTAGATATAATTTCTAAAAATTAGTGGATTTTTTCTTCAATTAAAGTGAAAATTTTCATTACTAAACATTAATTCATGATCAAATAAGTCAGAATCAAGTGCCAAAACACCAATTAAATGAAATAATTCAAAACCCCAAAATTTGATTCATCAAGAACCATAACCCTAATTTTTCTTAATTGAGCAATTAAATCAAATCAAGCAATAAACATGAAATTGACTTGAAATTAGGCATAATTGTGGTGTAGGTGAGGTTATATTACTTGATTTAGCTCCAAATTAACCTTGAAAAGGTAGGTTGCTTGAGAATTCTCTTCCTCTCCTTTTTTTCCCTAAATTTGAATTAGCTCTTTTAATATTCTTCTTGAAGGTATTCAGCTCCCAACTTGAAATTAAAGCTTAATCCACTGATTTAGAGGGTCTAAGATTGGTTAGGATTATTTTGGGTAATTTTTGAGTAAAAATTTTGCTAGAGTTTCCTTTGTGTTTTTCAATTTTCCTTCCCTTTTTAATTTTTCCAGAACCCTTATTTATAGGTAAATTTTGTGAACTTGTTGACCTTATCTCCACCCTTAATTTGGGTAAATCTCTGCCCTTAATTCAATTTCTAATCAATTCTTTTTATTTGGCTAAAATTTTAGCCATTTCTTCTTCTTTTTGTTTAATCCTTCCATTTAGCTTAATTTCAGCCACAAAATTTACTGGAATTCAGAATTAATTAATGATTTAGGTCGGCCAAAGTTGGAAGGAGAATGAAAAATTTTGGTCCTCCAAGTTTCTAGACTTTTCCATAGCCTATTCTTTCCTAAATCCCTCTTTTATGCAAACACTCACTTCTAATCCTCCCTTTTCCGTTTCTAGGACTAATTTTTGACCCTTAACATTCCTACATAATTTAATTTGGATTATTATACTTTTAAGTTTATGCAATTAAGTCCCTAATTTTAGACAATTTGGTCCCTACTTTTAAAATTCCATTCTACACTTTTCAAAAATCCAATTTCTTTCCATAATAAATTCAAAAATTCATTAAGGGATTTTTATTTAAATTTTCATTATTTTTGGCTGTCATTTGGGCCTCTAATGTATTTATTTAGTGTGAAAATTACACTATTTTCTATTAAAAATATTCCCTATAATTATTAAAATTAATTTAAATTTTCTAGGCACTCTCAAACATCCCATATGATTATTATATGCTCTTAAAAAAATTCCTCATACACTTAAGGTGCCTAATTAAATTCTTTACCTCTAAAAACACTATTCCAACATACCAAAATTCAAATAAAATATTCATAGCACAAAATAAAATTCACCCAAGCACATAAAATAATTCAACACCCCTCTAACAATTATTCTAAGCACACAAATTATTTTTCATTCATAAAAAAATGTTGTAATTAAGTATTTCATGCAAAAACTACTATTCATGTATCATAAAATCAATAAAATATCCCTTAAGCATAGAAAAACTATTTTAACTATTATATATATTTGTTAAAGTTTCTAAGGATTATTTCACACCCTTAAAATATGTTTCCCTTGTGTTTAATATTTAATTTTTATTTAATTTCGGTTTTAGCAGATACCGATTATTACACTTTATCTCGTTTCAAAGTGGAAGACGACTTCAGTAGATATCAAACACCAATTTCATGCCATGCTTAATATATCTATTGAAGTAGTCAATGCATATAGGATCGTAAAGTGTGTTGTAGATTGGTTAGCAAAAGTCGTTAGGAACAACAATATCTTGTATCATGCACCTATCTTGGTATTTCTTCATCCGGATTATGTTTTGTGAACCTTAAGCATTGATATAGGTGAAATGAGTCCTTTCGGAGAAATGCTCTAATTCTTCAATCTTACTAAACGGTATGATATGAAAATGAATTGAATTGATAGTCTCCATTTTGCATGATTTCTTTAAGATGTAAAAGTTTTCAAATTTACAAGGTTTGTTATTTCAATTGAAGTCTCCATTATGGAAAATATAGTATTTTAATGTTCTGCAATCGCCATATTGATGTTTGATAATCTTATACCTCAACAGGAAAGCAAACAAATTGACAAATCCAAATGTTTAAATTCCATGATACAAGATATATCAAGTAAAATTCAATAGGAATAGCTCTATCACATACTAAATAGTAATGAACTCAATTTCAAAAACTTGCATTAGCTTTACACTTGGAGAAATGCTTTCTCTCTCTCTCTATGTATATATTATATCTCTTCGAGTCCATGTCCATGATACTCCTTGCTTTCTTAGAATTGCCAGTCATCATTCCCTTTTTACCTTCAAGACTAAATGTCGAAGATCGAAGTGATGAAAAAAGATAGCAATCGGGACAATGTTGTTAAATCACTAATATCTTCCTCCAATTCCCTAAAAAGTTTGATTACATAAAAAAGTCTTCTTTGGGATTATTGCTATAATTTTCAGCTACTAATCAGTTGTACTTTATCAATTCGAGCAATGTATACTCAAATTACCGGTTCTCCGTAAGAGTTCATACTCGTTACACCTTGTATGAAAAAGAGATTTTTCTAGAGGCTAATTGAGAATGCTAGATAAGTCCAAAAGCCTTTAGAAGATTATGAAGCAATAGAAAAGCCTATAGGGTATTAGAAAAATCTAGACATGTTCTAGAGAATCTCTTAGTGTTCTAACTTATACATATCTAGATAGTTTCTAATAAATATCTAAATAAGAGAATTTTAAAGAATGAATTATAGCTATTAGATCTAATAGATTTTAACCATCCATTGAGGGGATAAAGGATTATAAATAGGTGATGCTTTTATTTGGCAACATCTAATCTAGGAGAAAAATACAAGAGTTATATTATAAGAGAGTTGTAATTATTTGAGACAGAAATATAAAGAGTTCTTATATCTCTTATGTGTCTTTCTTATTTGATAACTAGTGTTAGAGAAGGTCGACTTGGTTCAAATTAGAAGAGAAGTGAGCCAAGTGTCATATGAGAGCTTAGGAAATGCCAAATCTATGACAAATGGTATCGGAGTCGAGTTCTATCAAGTGTGGTTAAACTTATGGCTAGCCAAGTATTCAAAGAGTAAGCACTCTAGCTGCGGTATTGAGTCGGGGACACTAAGAATGAGACTCTATCTCCTCCAACTAAGAAGGAAAGGGGAAGTCTCATGACAGGATGGTTGTTTCGGAGGAACAACTATTAAAGGCAAAGGAAAACCTTGTTGATTTCAAGGAAAGACTCGAGAAGATAGAAGGAGATAATAAAAGAAAGAAACTAGGCATGATAGGCCTACGTGAGGCGTTCTTTAATCTCCAAACTCGAGTAGTGCCGATTGAGAGGTGTGCCAAAAAGAATGCTGTAAAAAAAGATGCCTTTATGGAATGGACGAAGGACATGTTCACACAATATCAAGAGTCTATGACTAGGCATAAGCAAACTCTTTAACAACATAGAAGAGATTGGACAATTTGGCAAGAAGCTATCTCTAATGATGTAGTCTTAAGGGACATACCAAACGTTGAAGTTCCAAAGCTAAGGCACTATGTCTGTTAAGCGGGATGCCAATAAGTTGATAACTTCTTTTGGTAAATGAAGCAATACTTAGAGGCTATAGGCTTAAGTGAGGATAAGAGTTGTGTCAAGATCGTTACCCTCTACCTTATAGTAGATGCTACTTTATGGTGGTGTATTAAGAACTAAGAGCTTAAAGAGGAGAATTAAGAGTTGTTTAATTGGGACTAATTTAAATAAGTTGTGCATGCCCAATTCTATCTTGATAAAGTAGATTGGGAAGCAAGGGATAAACTATGAATGTTAAAGCATGCAAAAACTATTCATCAATATGTCGGAGAATATGTCTTCTTAAAACTTTAGGTACGTGGCAAACAAGCAAGGGTAAATGCATTGTTAGAGGCATATTTGAGGAACTTCATGAGTACTAGCTAGTGAGATTGGGCTAATTGTTAGATATTATCCAATTCTCTTATAACTTGTAAAAAAGTGAGTCAACTAACGAGAGTCCATTTGATATCATGATGAGCTAATGACCCCTCACTCCATATACAACTCGTGCTTGGTGATAAATACCAAATAAGCGACCTCTACTACATATCCATTGGCCAAGGGATGACAAGACTAGACAAACTTGAAATGGATATATTTGAACAGGGCTACCAAGAATATGAAGAAATAGGGCGACAAAAGATAGAGAGATGTCATGTTCCAATCGTGTAACAAAATGATAGTGAAGTTGCTACCACGGTAACATAAAGCTTTTTGAAGGATTCACAAACGCCTCATACGACAATATGAAGGACCATTTGAGGTAGTGTACAAGGTGGGGGAAGTGTCCTATCAATTGGAGTTGCCACCAAAGCTAAAGATCCATTCGGTATTCCATGTTAGTATGCTGAAGCCATACCATGAAGAAGAAGATTATCCAAGCCGAGGAGTTTCTCATAAGGCACCTACGGTAGTAGTTAACTCTTATGACAAAAAAGTTGATGCCATATTTGATGACGCACCATTTGATGATGTAGTGTGCCATCAAGGAAGGAGTATTATGTGAAATAAAAGAGCGATGCTAGTTGAAAACTTGTTGAAGCCTTGTGGTAATGCACACGAAAGGTCAAGTAGTGCAATGAAAGAACGTTAAGGACGTCATCAAATTAGGTGGTGGAGAATTTTATGTCCTACATGAAAGATGAATTTTTTAGAGGCTAATAGGGAATGTTAGATAAATCCAAAAGCCTCTGAAGATTATGGAGCAATGGAGAAGCCTCCAGGGTGTCTAAGAGAAATCTAAACATGTCTTAGAGAATTTTAAAGAGTCTCTCATTATTTTAGCTTGTACATATCTAAATAGTTCTTTATAAATATCTAGGTAAAAGAATTATAGAAAATGAATTATTGTCATTAGATCAAATAAATCTTAGCCATCTATTGAGAGAGTGAAGGACTATAAATGGGTAAAGCCTTCATTTGGCCAAAGCATCCAATCTAAGAGAGAAATGCAAAAGTTGTATTCTAAGAGAGTTGTAAGCAATTGAGATAACAATGTAAAGAGTTCTTATATCTCTTGTGTGTGTCTTTCTTGCTTGACAACTAGTGTTAGAGATGGCTAACTTAGTTCGACTTAAAGGAAAAGTGAGCCAAGTGTTGCTCAATAACTTGGGAAAGGTCAAGTCCGTGACAATACGATATCATTGGTATCTTGAAATAACTGATTTGAATTTTGCAAATACTTAGGAGAGAAGATGTCAATACCCCAATTCATAGTTTTAGAGATATTCACATTGCAATATTGAAACAAATAATAGAAATTAGCATGTCAAGAACTTCCAATACATCATGTGCCACGAAGAAGCTCAGCTATGGAAACAAGTATTATATTAAGGATAAATAACGTTAAACACCTTGTGGTTTGAGTTGGGTAATAATTTACAATTTATAGTTTCACAAATTACACTTTACACCTTAAATATTTGAATGTTATTTCAAAAAATACCATGTACTTTGACTCGTGTAGTATAAACTGGTTTCTGGAGAAAAAAATCTTCAAATTATAATAAGTTTATCATTATAATTTTTATAATGACAAAAATGCCTCTCAAAAGCATTTATGCCTTAATTAAGAAGCAAAATTAGGCAGGTCTCGGCTCTGCATAGCCTTTGCGAGGAATGACATCATCTGTTGCTGACGCTGCTCTGTCCCTTGAAGTCGTTTCACCGTGGCTTGCAACTGGATATCCGTGTCACATTGCGACTGCCTCAACTTAATAAGTCCTCGCATAAGGACGTTCTTGTCCCTATTAAGCTTCTCTACCTCTTCCTCAAGCCCAAATTTTTCACCCTCATCACAGGCGCCAACAGATGAGTTCTGTTGCTGCGGCTGTTGATCCACCTTTCGAAAACCCTTTTGAGAAAAGAGACAGCGATATACAGAAAGATTAAGTCCAAAAAGAACAAAACAAAAACATGCAAATCACATGAGCACTAACCAGTTTGCTAAATAATTCATAACCTAATCAAACATCAAACCCACCAAAAAAATATTAAAAAGAAGATATTAAGGTAAGCTAGAATGGCTTAAATCACCATCGTATTTGGATTAGTATCTTAGCTATAATAGCATTCCAATACAAAAGGTACTTTACTTTTACGTTGGAAAGGCCATAAAACATTACCAAAATAGAGACAGCAATAGGTAATCTCCCACGGTATATGTCAAGAAAGACTTGATGTCGAAAGTGAGGTATGTCTTCTTGGGTAAAAGGGAAATGATTTCCATGTGCAAGACAATCAGCATACTTCATCACAAATATGCCACAATCAACTCGGCTGCAGAGCAACAAAAGTTCCAAGTAAACACATATTAGAATCATTGTCCAGTAGAACTACAAACCATTTTGAATGTTTTTTATGAAATTTATAGCCACTTACTTTGTTTGGTATGGAATATTCAAAATTTGTAGAATTTGCCATTCCTGTGAATTATGATAACCCAAAGCCGGTAGTAGGTGCTCGATAATCCACTGGAAAATTATATTCTTTTCAGTAGAATGGCCATCAAAAGGAGAATTTAATGAATCTAACCATAGCAATGCTTGTTTCTCAATGTCGACGCAAATGAGGATCCAATGATCTTTTAAACACACTGGCACGAACAACTAAACAATGAAAATGATAGAAAAGTTAGAAACTCATTAGTCTAACTTTAATAATTAATATGGCTGGGTAGCATACCTTTAATGAGCCTGCTATCTCTTCAATTTCTAAGGCAGATAGTGCTTTTGTCTCACACCATTTCCCAGAAAGCAAGAATCTCTGGTGAGAGTATAATTGTTCAAAAAAACACGACTAATTTTTGAATTAAAAGAATTAAAAAATGGCAAGTTCTAAGCTTCTTACAACTATCCAAGTTGGCAATGAGTAATTCTTGATGTATGAATTGGGAAACTTCTCTGCTCTCCTTCTCAGCAACTCGAAGAAGGCATTAATAACCTTGTTTTCAAGACAGAAATTACACGGTATTTTTCAAATAGCAACATAGAAGTTGAAAAAAAACTAAAAGCAGAACTATCTTACTGTATCATCAACCCAATATTGATTTTCCTCCTTGATTGGTATGTATGTTGGAGGGAACCTAAGCAAATTTATCAGTGATGTGTCACAAACATTCAATCTTTTATTATGTCCTGCAAAATTTCTGTAAGAATGGAAGTTACATGAATGAGACAGCTTGATAGAACATGTATCTCTTATGAAAGCATGATTTCTATGCACGAACGTACCCGGTCATCTTCCGATTCATCCATCTTACAATTCTTTTAGTTTCCTTTTCCCTAAAAGAAGAAAGCAAATACTTCCGGACCTCCTAAAAAATTAAAGGAATTTCACTCTTTAGAATATGAAATATATGGATGAAAAAAAAAAAAAACGAACTCATTAAATGTTAGAAGAAAATAAAGCACAGTACCTCTTCAGACCATATCCTTCCATTTTTCATCGTATCAAGATGACATCCTATGTCATCCTCAGAATCTGAAGAGCTTGCCGCCTCTGTCTCGAATGGAAGAGATGCATCATCAGTATCTTGTATGGTGATTGGATAATTAAGATCACCACCTCTTAAAAATATAGAATTGGAATTTCCAACATTTTCCTTATCCACTGCAACAGTATATATTTATATTAACAATTATTCTTATTCAACATAAAAATGTAAAAAGCAAGACAATGAAATGAAGTAATTCGTATTACCAGGTTTCCAGATCGACACAACAGCCAAAGGACGATTGAGAGAGCGTAACATAGGAAAGCCATTGTTTTCGACGATTATGAAGTCAAACATAGAATGTAAACTGGTGTTTTTTAACTCGTTCGACCATAACGGAATTGAATGAAACCCAGCTTGAGATAGTCGTTCTTTCCAGCGATCGAATGTCTCATGCCTCTCAAACCGATGGATGCCCTCACTTGCAACAACATTAATAATCTGTCGACTCAAATGCCTATCCGACAACATCTTTATTCTTGGGTCGGTATCATGTTGATCTGATGCTTCAAAAACACTATGGTAGTAGTCAAATGATGAGCTAAACCGGTCAAAGAAATCTGAACTGTTATGGTTGGCTTCCTGTTCAACAATTACCATGATATCTGGTCTTAGATCCTTCAGTTTTGACAACACTTTCTCGATTGCTCCTTCTTGAGCAAGCAATTTGTGGAGTTCAAACACCCATCTTACAATTATTGTCTCATCCTCGGTCGTTCTTTTGAGATCGAGCACAGCTTCTACTACGTCAGCTGCATAATTGGCAAACACTTCTTCGAACTGGAAATCAATGCCATACTCTAGAGCAAGTGGAGTGATACCTTGCTGAAATGTGTACAGTTGGAGATGATCATCGTATCTTGATAGTTTTGGTCTGATACTGGTCACCCGGAATGATTGTGAGCAAGTCACACTTTTTCCATAGCACAAGAACCAATCCTTCCAGTACCTGTAGCTTACCACCATGGAGAAGTCAATAAAGTGGACTTGGTTTGATCTTCCAGTAATTAAAGTTTGAAGCATGTTGTAGCTGGTGGCAATGGTAGCAAACAGATTAAGGGGAATTTCTTCTGTGTAGGGGTAGTCATGCATTTCTATAGAAGGAAGTAATGGCATAGGATTTTGAGGATGCAATCCATGGACTCGCCGGGCTAGAGCTTCTGCAAAATACTTGGCAACTTTCTTTGTTACTTCATTAGTTTCGGCGCTGGTCAGAACTTCCATTTCCACAAAAAGATCATCTGCAAGTTGGAGATCACCATCTGCAACTGCCTTGGCACAACACTTCAATTTGTTGACAAGAGAAGAGTCCATTTCCGCAAGAACCATATTAAGATCTGGTGGCCCTGTGGATGGATGAACTGAAAACATGATCTCTTTTTTCTTTCTTTGGTAGCTACCTAAGTACTATGATCCATCCAGTTCCCAAAGCCTCCCATTTCGTATCTCTTTCATTTCCTCCCTCTTTCCTTGCTTCTTTTCTTCAGTTTTTTTTTGCCCTTTCTTCATTGACTATGAATTGGTCTGTTCCTGCAAGTCAATGGCAGGTAGGTAGGTCCTACGTGTGCTGTCCAAGCCATTTTGCCAGTACTTTCACGCGCATACACAAAACCCATCTTCTATTTGGTCGAATCTAGCAGACCCGACTTTATTCTTCCTTTCTTTACTATTACGTTTATTTCCAAGTTGTGTATCTACTTCTCGAAACATCCCATTACTAGCCAAAAGGATCTCACATCTGATTAAAGACTTACATTCACCTCATAACAAATACATTTTACCGGAACATTTGAAGTCCTATGCACAGTTATTGTTCTGTAATTATGTTCTGTTCTTACAATTTTACTTCGGTTCTATAGCAGGGTCAGTTACAAATAATCTTGGCATTCATCTATGATCCAATCTAATATGATTCGGTAATAACAACAATCCTATAATTAAAAACATGAATAAAATTAAGCACATTTAGATCTCTTCCTTTGTAAAATGCTAGTTTAAAACAACAGATTCTGTTAACCTAAAAAGATACTGTCAGAATATATTTGGTCTTCATATGAAGTGAAAATAAATTCCAAACTGTCTTTGACATTTTAACCATCAAATTTGAAGTGGAAAGTGAAGCTTCCAGGTCCTTTTCATCTAATCTACAACTTTAATGCTTTTAGGAAAGCAGAAAAAGCTGGAAATCACCAACCAGGTGTTGATCCGAGTTTAACTTAATATAATGTTCGAATCCAATTGATACTGTGAAAGTAGGTTGCAAATTTCCAAGGCAATAGCAAAGCATTATATAATAAGCAATCCAAGATGATCGGGTCGATCTTCGGTTTGGCCAGTTTCCTTATTTATTTCTTTCCTTCCACTGTCAAACTTTTCTCCTTTGCCACATTAAAGTATCGATTCCCTTCTGTTTTTTCAACCACCCTCCAGACAAGTCAAGTCTTAGCAATGTTAAATCGTTGTGGCAGAAATTTTGTCAGGATCTTGCAATTAGATCCGAGGATCATGAAAAATATCCGATTGTAGTTTGGATCCTTTAAACCCCAACCCAATGCAACGACTTATTTTTGGGTCTTTTTAATAAAGAACATCATCATCTACCATATCCCTATATATACACATTCTTGCCAAGCTTTAACTCAAATCATTCAAACATGGACATCACCCAAAATATCAACGATTTTTTTCTTTCAATTTCAGCTTTCTTGATCGTAGTGTGGAACAGAGTTAGATACCCACTGCCCTCACATTCAGCAAATACCCCTCCTCCTTCTCCTGCCTTCGACCTCGAATCGCAGTCACCAGAAACAGAGCCATATCCACAAGCCCCTCATCCCATTACCCAAATATCTCAAAATCCAGAAAACCAACCTCTGCATTCTGATACCATAGCCCCAGAAATGTTGCAACCACCACTTCAACCATTACATCTATCACATATAGCACCTTCTTCTCGTTCCATCGACCTTGAATCCCAACTGCTAGAAACACAAGCACAGCCCTCTGTTCCCCTTAACCAAGAAATGTCTCAAACCCCAGAAACACAACCGTTACATTTTACAACCATCAACACAGAAATATTGTTGCAAGCAGCACAAACACAGGCGCCTCAACCTCATTCGGCTATTGAAACAGAGCTCCAATTAGTACCTCCAACACAACAAACACCTTCCTCTGCCATCAATCCACAACAAATCAATATGGTCATTGTCAAGCAGATCACTCTAGAATGGCCTAACATAATCATGGCATTCTGTTTCGAAGCAGCAATTCAAATTGCTCTCCAATACGAAACAACTCAGCATTCCAAACTCTCTATTCCCTTCTACTTGCGTTCTTTTTCCATCCTACTCACCTTTGCTTCCCTTTTTGTTTCACAGTTAATTAGCAGAAAGTTTCCTGACATATCCAAAGTATTGGAGAAAGTTGCAATATTCGTTGCTGCCATTGTATTTTTCACCACCATTGCAACTCCGCTAGTCCTGCGTCCTTGACCCTCGGCCGCAAGTGAAATTCAAGTAAATTTGTTCAGACTTACAAGGCATTAATACGTATAAGGCTGTCTTGTATTGAAAAAATCTGCTTTGGAGGAGAATAAGGTTGTGTCTTGTGACTTACTGATCAAGAGAAAAGAAAGACAGTCGATCGATCTATCTATCTGTTGTTGACAGGAGGGATCAAAGTGTTATAGTTGTAGTCCTTTGTCTTTGTCTTCTAGTACTTCTTAGTGCTTATTCTATTAAGAATTATGTTCTTGTGGCTTGGAGAGTTTCTTGATTAAATTTATTGATTAGTCTTAATCATTTTCCATCTATTAATTCTCTGTAAGGAATACAATTGATAAATTTAGAAAATGGGATGTTCTTGTACTTCTGTAGCTCATGATAAAGAAGTGACTATCATGCGGCATATCATACGGCATAAACAAAAATTCTAATGAAAACAATTGAAACTAAAAATTTGTTCTAACAGGGGTATGAGTAAGACTTTTTAAGCTTTTGAGGACCAAATAAAAACTTTTCTTCTGTAAGGTCTCAATTGCCATTTACTTCATAGTATTATTATTATTATTATTATTTTCCTATCAGACTGCAAGATCACAATTAATTAATACCATCAAAGCTATTCTACATTTTAAAATTCAGTATCATAAGAGATAAATAACAACACTTGAAAATATTAACATTTAAAATGAGAATCCATAACATGCCCTCAAATCCATTAATTAATAGGGTGAGATTATAAAAGTCTCTCTTTTAGCATAAAAACCGACAAAAGAAACTTAAAGAAAGAGAACCATTTTTTTTTTTTTATCGGATAGTTATTTTTCATTCGTGCAAACTTTTCTTACAATGTTTTTTTTTTCTACTTCCTCTCCTAGCCATTGATGCATCCACCACCCAACACATTGGGTCCCACAAAACAAGTTCCATAGAAGCCCCCACCAATTCTTTCTTCTATTAAATACTCAATGGTTATCCAAATGTGGTCCTTCATGTGAGCTAATTGTTGTACATTTATTGATAGTTTTAAATTAGTTTTGTTACCTGCATTATACCGCGAGTCTAAGTAAAATACGTAAAATTATTTAAAATAATCATTTTAATTTAATGATATGTGCTATGTTGAGGATCTATGAAAATATATAAAATCATAAGTAAAAAAAAAAATCCAATTTTATAATATTTTAATCAAATATTTATATTTAATTATTTTTTATTTTTAATATTTTTTTACTTAAAAATGATTAATTCTTCTTTG